CCTCTGCTCCACCTGCCTCCCCAGGCACTGCCCCCCGGGAAATAGAACCCCATCATCAGGGGAATGACAAAGAAGAATGACGGGGTCCCTTGCCAATATGCTGAGCTGCGAGGACCTCACAGCCTCTTCTTCCAGAAAAGACGGTGACAGCAGGGAGGGGGAATGAGGGTGGACAGCACTACAAGCTCTGCCTCCCGGGTTCACGCCATTCTCCTGCCTCAGCCTCCCAAGTAGCTGGGACTACAGGCGCCCGCCACCTTGCCCGGCTAGTTTAATTCAGTAGGGCTCTTGACTGTTCCTTCCCTCTGGCCTGGCCAGAGACTCACTTATGTGATCTCATGAAGACTGGCCCATCGTGCTCAGCCCACCCTCCAGCAGCCATGAATGGAGAGACACTTTGACATTTCCATTTGCTCATTTTGTTGCTCCTCTCCTGACTTGGGAGGGAAAGAAAGCAGTTTAGACATTTGCTTTGGTGTATGATGTGAATTATGCCACTTTCTCCCTTCACTCTGTAACTTTAGAAATGTTTCAACAGTCATTTATATTTGTGTTAGAGCTCATTGAGTTTCACTTTCCTCAACTAAAATTTACCAAGTGCCTGGGCTTTCCCAGACCTCGTGCTCCGACAAGTCATAATAAAGTAAATTGGCAGCTACCAGATAGTGCTGCGGTGCTGATGAGTGCGCGAAACGCTTCAAAAGCACAGCGGGGGGAGGGAGGGAGGGTCGGGCTGGGGCACCAGCTTCACCCTGGGAAGTGGCCCCCCGGCCCCGGCCCTCCCCATCCCAGGCAGGCTTCACGGGAATTAGTGTCACCTCATTCCCCCTCCCTGCTGTCACCGTCTTTTCTGGAAGAAGAGGCTGTGAGGTCCTCGCCAGGCTCAGCATATTGGCAAGGGACCCCGTCATTCCTTCTTTGTCATTCCCCTGATGATGGGGTTCTATTTCCCGGGGCAGGTGCTGGGGAGGCAGGTGGAGCAGAGAGAGAGACTCCTTTTCACTGAGGAGAGAAGGCCTTCCAAAGCTCCCTGCCTTTGGAATCAGTTTGCTGCTCTTCTGCTTGGGAACCAGCTCTCCTATGAGCAAGGCAGGGATTCTGGATGAGGAAGAGGGTACTTACTCCCCACCCCACAGACACTGCTGAGGGCTGCCACAGGGAGGCGAGCCAAGGCCCTTCCAACTCTGCCTTTGAGGCCTGTGTCATGCTGGGACCCTCTCCAGGCACAGTGGCCAAAGCACAGGGCTAGGACTAGGGTACACTAGGCACATCTAGAGATGGGATGTGGTTCTCCACTCTCCGAGCCTGTTTTCCCACCTTAAAAATAGGGCAGAGAGAAGTCTTTACTATCAGATTTGCGGGCTCCCACCCAGTTCCTAAGGCTCCGGGGCTCTGTGGCACGTTAGAAGTGAAGGATTGTGGAATAAATGCAGAGGAAAAACACAGAAGTGAACTGAGATGAGAGGAAGCTGGCGAGGGGAAGAGAGAGGGGGAAAAGAGGCAGAGAAAAAATCAAAGAGAAGAGAAAGCAGGAATGAGAGAGGAGAGAGAGAGTAAATGAACAAGAAAAGGAGGGAGAATATGAGTAAGTAAATAACAGTACAGAGTACTGTCTTCCCTCTGGCTGGACTCCGCCCTCGTCTCCATGGTGATGGGGCACAGAGGGTTGGGGAAGACTGCTCTCACCCTTCCTGGGGTGAAGCAGACCAGGACACAGCAGCTGGGCAGGGCCTGGCTTGGTGGCCTTCCCTGTGCTGCACCTGCCTTTGGCTGGTGGCAGGGGTGGGATGTGCTCTGAGAAGATGCCTCTAACCACCCTTTTGGACATGACTAATGCCCATCCCAGGTGGTGCAAGGATTGCCTCCTCTGTCTTCCCAGAGCCCCTGGCACTGCCGCATTCATAGTTCAGCTCATTCTGGCCCCAAATTGCCTTCCCCTCCAGACTGCAAGCTCCTCCAGGGAGCTTTAGCCAGGGATCCTTAATTCTGTTGTACCACAGATGCCTTTGGGCAAAGCCAGTGGACCCCGTTTCTGAACAATTTTTTAAATGCATGTAGTAAAATACACAGAATTAACAAAATCAATTGTATTGAAATATACTTATTAACATTAAAATGCAATATAATAGATTTGCTTTTCTAGTAATACATTATAGCAACAGGTCTGATAAGCATCATAATTTCAATGTAGGGATCAGTATAAATGATATAGCATGATATCTGCAAAAACTGTGCTGTGAAATGGAGGCCTCTATGGCTTATATCGATGACAAGGTTCCAGGTACTACTAATACTATTACGGACATGCTCAATTTCAGCTCGAGGTTGGTGAACACAAAAGAACTTTTGGCCGGGTGAGGTGGCTTACGCCTGTAATCCCAGCACTTCCGGAGGCCAAGGTGGACGGATCACAAGGTCAGGAGATTGAGACCATCCTGGCTAACACAATGAAACCCCATCTCTACTAAAAATACAAAAAATTAGCCAGGCGTGGTGGTGTGAGCCTGTAGTCCCAGCTACTTGGGAGGCTGAGGCAGAAGGATGGCGCGAACCCAGGAGGTGGAGCTTGCAGTGAGCCGAGATCACACCACTGCACTCCAGCCTGGGTGACAGAGCGAGACTCTTTCTCAAAATAGTAATAATAATAATAATAACTTTTTATCCATGTTCACAGACTCACCAGATTCTATTTATGGACCCCTTGGTGGGGTCTTCGGACCCCAAGGAAAGCCCCTGTTCATTCCCTATGCCTTCCCACCCCATCTTTCACCTCTCTCTCCCTTGTCACTCTACCCAGTTCCCTGGCCTTCTGGCAGTGCCACGTTGTGAGCTTTGTTTTGTTTTTGGAGACAGAGTTTTGCTCTTTTTGCCCAGGCTGGAGTGCAGTGGCGTGATCTCGGCTCACTGCAACCTCCACCTCCCAGGTTCAAGCGTTTCTTGTGTCTCAGCCTCCCGAGTAGCTGGGATTACAGGCATGCACCACTACGCCCAGCACATTTTTGTATTTTTAGTAGGGACGGGGTGTCACCATGTTGGCCAGGCTGGTCTCAAACTCCCAACATCAGGTGATCCACCCGCCTTGGCCTCCCGAAGTGCTGGAACAGCGGTGCCACTTTGAATGCGTTGAGTGCTTCCTAAGTCAGGGTCTTCTCCCCTGGTTGCGCCTGCTGCCTGGAATATTCTTTCAGCCCCTCGACCTGGTCCCTCACTCCTCACCTCAGCTCACCTCCTCAGAGCAGCCTCCCCAAAGGCCCCAGGCTAGATTTGGTGCTTCCTGTTTTTCTTGCTACAAAACTCAGTGTCTTGCTTCTCTAGTACTTATTCAATTTATAATCGATTGTCAAACAAATAAACACAAAATAAGCCTATGTCCACCCGTGAACACTGTGCTTTATGAAAGGATAGTGACCATATCTGTTTGGCCTTTTGCCTTAAATTCAGCTAGCAATATCTACTACCTAAGTAGAGATGGTACAAGCCTGAAGAAGAGATGAATGAATGGATTCAAAAGGTTTAGACACTGTCCAGCTTGTCTTTGCACTTTTAGTGCTTAGCCCCATGTCTGGCACATTGTAGGTGCTCATTTAGTGATAGCCAAATGAATTAAAGGCTGGCTGGCTGAATAGAAGGTTGGGGGGCTGGGGTCGAGGCCTCACAGATGTGACCCTAGATCCTAAACCTTATTGAGATACTGCCCAGCCCATGGACTGCCTCCCAGGGTCCAGCTGTGTGATTAACTTGACATTCCTTTATTTTTTATTCCATCTCCCTCTTTCTAGTTTCTGATTCGAAAGTGGCTGATTTGGGGAATGAGTTCTGAGCACTCTGTGGGTTACTGTAGAAACCATCCTCCTGGCTGTCTCACCATCAGCGCCACCTCTCCGTGGGTCTGGAGTCTTGAGGAGCCAGGACTGGACTGGGATGTGAGGCTGGGTCTTCTGAGCTGTAGATGGGAGCAGAAAGATGTATCTCTACTCACGATCTCAGTGCAAGGCTCAGCTCTCTCCTGGCAACTCGCCCATCATCTGTTTCTGAGTTCTTCTGACATATAGGTACTTGTGCCTTTGATACTTATTTGCTTCTATTCAGTGATGAGCCATTTAACCACGCAGCCATCTCTGGACAATAAGACGGGAAGGCTGGGTCGGGGTCAGGGGGCAGGGGAGTGCTGGGAACTCAGGAAAGAGCAGAAGAAAAGCAGGGAGGAGGCCCTTTCATCCCTGAACCACAGCATCCTCCTGCCCAGAGCAGGAGTTTGTTCTGCTTTTTTTTTTCTTAGCAATATTCACCTGATTGAGTCCTGACCTTTCCCTGCCAAGAAGAAAGCCACGCTAGCGAAATTAAGGGAGAAATCTAATATTCATGAGGTGCTGATTACCCACAAATAGGATAGTGTCTTAAAGTAGATGGTGTCAGAATTGCAAAGGCTCTTGATAAATATGTATGTTTACGGGCCCAAACAGAAGTGGAATACAGTGTAGGTGCTGAATAATTCCTCATGAGGATGGAGACAGAGCCTGCCACAGCCCGTTCATCATCAGGTGCGGGGCTTAGTTGAGGTGTGATTATCTAGCATAATTACACGTGCCATGCAACATTCATGAAACCCAGCAGACATCTTTGTCTACGCAGGACAAGAAGGGGCTTCACTCTGAAGCACAGCAAACTTCCAAATTACTATTTAGCCTTTTGTACTTCAAGCTTGAGCCACTTTTCATAGGTGCTAAGTTAGGTATTCAGAGAGCCTGCTTAGGACTGGTTAGGTACCAGTTGAAATTCAAAGTTTCTCTCCCAAACAGCAGATGAACCAGATATTGTTGTTGTGTTGTTTTTTTTTTTTTAAGATACAATATCATAACTTTATTCAGGAGATAATCAAATACAATACAGGACTGACACTGACACACAGCTATGCATAAAAATTATATAAATCTGCTAGCTAGATTTTCCAGAGGAGGCCCAGTCATTATAAAAAATAAAGGGAAACCAGGAGGGTGCCTAAATGACCGCAGTGTTTCAAGTAAGCATAAGCGTTTCCACACTCCCTTGTAGTGAAGGCAGCCCCAGGTGAAGGTGGTCCTACTAGCAGGAAGATTAGGAGGCAGCAGCTGTGCAGAAGCCATGTTTCCTGGCCCTGCCAGAGCTCAACTATAGGCCTTGTTGAACTCCTGGAGAGCCCACCGCTTGTTCTCCGTTGCCTGCCTGAGTACGGTGTACTCTTTCACCAGCCTGTCAAACTCCTCCCCAAGCACCTCATAGGAGTTCAGGACCTGTCTTGACTTCTCCATGTCCCGCTCCTGTAGGTGAATGGCTCCCTCCAAACGGTCCCGAATCAGATGATGAACTTCCACTTTCTCAACAGTGTAAGTGTCAGACAAAATCTTTAGCTCCTCCATCCTCAGCTTAAGGATCATAGCCCTGCATTTGACTTCCAGGTACTGGGCATTGATGCGGTCTAGCTCGGATTGAGTCTTTAGCCGGTGTTCCTGAAGAAGCCTCTGCAGCAAAGTGGGGCAGCGGAGAAGCACCTGGGAGTAAGTAGCACTCTTCTCCTCCAGCAGCAACATCTGCTCCTTCTGTTGGCTCTTGGCATCCTGGCATTGCTGCTGCTCACCCACCAGGACCTCTGCGAGTTTCCACACCCTTGCTGCCTTCACGGTTTCACTGTCAGCATCTGAACTGGGATCATAGTAGTAGAGCAGAGTGAAACATTTCTTTCTGAGCTGCTCCTCTACTTATTGCTGTAGCTGAGCCCTCCACACAAAATCCTGAGCGTGGCATGAGTTCCAGAAGGTCCGCTTTCTCCATCCCCAGCAGTGGAGGTATCTCCCTCTCCTGGCTAGGACCTAAGAGTCGCATCAGTTTGGTTACAAGTAGCTGCTGTTCAAGGATCTCATGAAACTTTTTGTCCTCAGAAGTTACATTTGTGTCTTGTATCTTCACATAGTAGTCCGCAAGCAACTCTTGAATGACTGTATGTAAAATCTCAGACCTCAACCATGTTGTCTTAGGCAGTCGAACTTCCTTCCATGCCTGAGCCTGCTCCTTTGCCAGGGTGAGGCTTAAGCCACTCTCATCCACATGCTGTGAGAGATTCAGGAGAAGCTTGCTGAAGTATGGGTTCTGTAACAAGTCTTCTTTACTCAGGTTACAAGGAGAAAGTTGTTTGCTGCACACCTGTTGAAGTATTTCCATCCCTTCTCCAGGTGCGCAGAAATCCCCGGATGCCATTTGATTTTCTTGGGATTCTAATCTGCACACCCTGGGGCAGCTGAAGCTCTCAAGGCGGTGCGGAGAACCTTGGCTGGGGTGGGCTGGTCAGCAGCGTCTACACCCCAGAATCCACCCGCACTAGGGCTCCGGAACCTCTTGCTCCGGCCCGGTGCAGGGGCTGGGGGAAGCGAGGCCCGGTAAGACTAAGTTCCAGATATTGTTAATAAAACATTACAAGCTAGAAATCAGTTAGCACTCACACTTAGCTTGCATTTTGTTTTTCTTCCTTTTCAAGGTTCTTTGGAGGAGGCATCAAGAAAATACATTTGGACAAATCCTTCGTCTCAAATATTTTCCCCTCATGAAACCAAAGGCATTGCTCCCAAGTCATTTCCATTAATTAGACATGCATCTTGTAGGACTGAAGGAGAATCCAGTCCACAAACTCTAGGTTAATTTTCTCTTCTGACATCTGTGTGTACTGTTTCTCTGAGGAGCTGAATTATCTGCTCTCCAGTGCTTTCCTCCCGGTGTTTTTTGGCCAGGAGCAAGGAGACAGGCACCTTGCATTCTGGGACCAGCAAGCAATTCTGAGAACTGGAGCTGCTTAGGTTCTTTCACTTCTGCTTCAAAGGAATATGTTGAGTTTGCAGAGAATGAAGGAGAGAAAGACTCCAAGTTCCAAGCGGGGACTTGGGGTAGTCTCTGAGCATCCCAGTATACTTCCTCCCCACAGCTTCCTCACTGGGCTCCCAGCCACCAGTATTTGTCTCTTTAATCCCCCAACACAGAGCTACTAGATGGATTTCTCTTTCTTTCTCTTCTATTCTTTCTTTCTTTCTCTTTCTTTTTTTCTTTCTTTCTTTGTTTTTCTTTCTTTCTTTCTTTCTCCTTTCTTTTTTTCTGATGGACTTCTTTCTTTTTTCTTTCTTTCTTTTGATGGATTTCTTTCTTTCTCTTTCCTTCTTTATTTCTTCTTTCTTCCTTTCTGATGGACTTCTTTCTTTTTTCTTTTCTTTTATATTTTTTTGATGGATTTCTCTTTCTCTTTCTTTCTGATGGATTTCTCTCTTTTTTCTTTTCTTTGTTTCCTTCTTTTGATGGATTTCTCTTTCTTTTTTTCTTTCTTTCTTTTCCAACTTCTTCCTTGCCTCCTTTCTCTCTCTCTCTCTCTCTCTCTGTCTCTCTCTCTCCCCCCTCTTTCTTTCTTCTATGTTTTTTGTTTTTGTTTTTGTTTTGAGACAGTCTTGCTTTGTCACCCAGGCTTGAGTGTAGTGGTGCAATCTTGGCTCACTGAAGTCTCAATCTCCTAGGCTCTAACAGTCCTCCAACTTCAGCCTCCCAAGTAGCTGAGACTATGTGCCAGCAATCTGGCTAATTAAAAAAAAAGTTTTTAGAGGTGGGGTCTTACTATGTTGCCGAGGCTGGTCTTGAACACCTAGCCTCAAGCAATCCTCCTCCCTTAGCCTCCTGAAGTGCTGTGATTATAGGCATGAACCACCATGCTCAGCTGGATTTTTTCTTTTAATTGTAGTTTTATTATGTTCTTTTTGCTTAAAATAAACTTTTCTGGAGTAATTTCTGGACTCTGCAAGGTCCTTGTCCTATTTGTTATGGTGTTTGGGCAAGCCCTCAGTTTTCCTGTCCAGAGCAGGCCTAGGACCTTCACCTTCAGTGGCTTTCCTGGGATCCCCCACTACCCAGAAGTGCAGGGCTATTGCCTCTGCTCGTCCCCAGATCCTGACCCTCCATGGGCCTGCCAGGAGGAGAGGCACAACTTTACCTCTACCCTCATAGGGATTTTTGGCTGCACCTGTGAGTTACATTGACATAAAACAGATGAATGAGAGAAAAACATACACATTTATTTAACACAAGTTTTACATGACACAGGGGCCTTGTTAAGGAAATGAAGACCCAAAAAGGCAGTTAGAGTAAACACATAGTGAATTGGACAAAGGGTAGTGCATTATGAAAATGTGACAAGGCCACATTTGGGTTGTCACTGATGGACATTTGGGTCGATTCCAAGTCTTTGCTATTGTGAATAGTGCTACAATAAACATATGTGTGCATGTGTCTTTATAGCAGCATGATTTATAATCCTTTGGGTATATACCCAGTAATGGGATGGCTGGGTCAAATGGTATTTCTAGTTCTAGATTCTTGAGGTGTGGCACATATACACCATGGAATACTATGCAGCCATAAAAAAGGATGAGTTCATGTCCTTTGTAGGGACATGGATGCAGCCGGAAACCATCATTCTCAGCAAACTATCGCAAGAACAGAAAACCAAACACCGCGTGTTCTCACTCATAGATGGGAATTGAGCAATGAGATCACTTGGACACAGGAAGGGGGACATCACACACTGGGGCCTATTGTCAGAGGGGGGAGGGGGGAGGGATAGCATTAGGAGATATACCTAATGTAAATGACGAGTTAATGGGTGCAGCACACCAACATGGCACATGTATACATATGTAACAAACCTGCACGTTGTGCACATGTATCCTAGAACTTAAAGTGTAATAATAAAAAAATAAATAATAATTTTTAAAAAATAAAAAAAAAAAAAGAAAATGTGACAAGGTAAAGGGGCTTGGGCTAACATGGTTAGTTGGGTGGAGAAGTGGCCAGGAAGATAAGGGTGAGTCTAACAAGGTTTGTGTGTGCAGATTTTTCTTGGTCTCAATTCCCCATCCTTGATGGTAGTGGGACTTTGCTTCTGGTACAGAGAGTGCCTTCTTCACATGGGAATTATCTTTTGTTTTAAGAAACAGATCAGAATTGTCTTCTTGCATCTGCTGTTTTCTTATCTGTTTTTAACTCAAAATAGTCAATATTCTACAGCAGCAGATCTGGGGGCAATATGTTCTGAACTCCCTCATTTCTGAGTGTCAGTGTCTTCCAGTCACAGACCACCAGGAACACACCTGCAGTTGACCAGCTGGGTTTGTTACTTGATGTGGTGAGGAAGGATGCTCTCCAAAAAACAATCATGGGGCATCTCAGAAAGAATATATTGATGAAAACTCTAGAGTCTGGGCTTTGGTTGGGTAATGTTGAGGAGGGTGTAAGAAGGTGATGTTTGCCTTGGACTGGGTACTGACAGAAAGCAAGAACGACGTTATGGTTTGGTATCTTGATAAATGTTATTGACAGGGAGGGCAGACTAGAGTGAGGACAAGGTAATTGGTAAAGAAGCAGTAGTCACTCATTTTTACCAAAAGTGGTGGCGTTTAGGAGGGCTGCACAGTGATTTGTTTTTGTCTAGTGACCTCACCTGATGTTGGTGTTCTGTGAGATCAGGTATGTTTGGCATAAAGAACATGGTCTCGCTGTGAGTGTCAGACCAGTTTCCAGATGTCAGGGGCCCACGTCTTCCCTTAGGACTCCCCACTCTCAGCCTGATCCATGTCTACACCTTGTAGTGCCAACCCTGAGGCTCTTCCTGTTTATGTATTTATTGAGACAAGGTTGCTCTGTCACCCAGACTGGAGTGCAGTGGCATCATCATAGCCAGGTGTGGTGGTGCACATCTGTAAACCCAGGTATTTGGGAGACTGAGGCATGAGAATAGCTTGAACCCAGAACCCGGAAGGCAGAGGTTGCAGTCAGCCAAGATTGCACCACTGCATTCCAGCCTCAGCAACAAAGTCAGACGTGTCAAAAAAAAGAGAAAGAAGAAAGAGAGAGAGAAGGAAGGAAGGAAGGAAGGAAGGAAGGAAGGAAGGAAGGAAGGAAGGCAGGCAGGCAGGCAGGCAGGCAGAAAGAAAGAAAGAAAGAAAGAAAGAAAGAAAGAAAGAAAGAAAGAAAGAAAGAGAGAGAGAGAGAGAAAGAGAAAGAGAGAAAGAGAAAGAGAAAGAGAGAGAGAGAAGAAAGGAAGGAAGGGAAAATTTTTAAAAAGAAAATGGATGGGAAACACTTCAAAACTTTAAGGGCTATAGGAGTGAGGGCATCACTTTTCTGAATGTCACATGACTGTTGGGAGGTGGCACAGTAAACACTGTCCCTCACTATGCTGTCATAACTGGGGTGAGGACTCTTCCCCATTCAGCCCTCCTGATTCACTTTCCACTCTTCACTCTGCTGGGGTGCCGGGAAGCTGACCTGTAAGGATTTCAACAATGGACCATTCTGCCCTCTGGCTTCTGGTTGGTGTTGGTTAATGGAAATATTAATAGGAGATTGCCGGGAGGAAGAAGAAGGGGTCAGGGTATTTACCACCAAGCTTCTTCCCTGCCTGTGTCCTTTGGGGCAACTTCTCTCACAGCTCTCTCTCCAGGTTCTAATAAATGCTCCCTCTCCTTTTCCTTGCTTTAATCCTGCACACATGCTTCAGATAGTCCCTTTGTTAAATTATCCTTGAGAATGCCACCTGAGTGACATCTATTTCCAGTGTATTTCTAGCATACATTCTTGCTAAATTATACCATTAGATTTTCACATTCACTCAAGAAATAGAAGCCACTGACCAAGATCACACAACCCGAAAGCAGTGACGCTGGGATTTTAGGCTCCTGGTTGATAGTTTCATGTCAGTTTTTTGACCCTCTCATTCAGCGTGGGGCTAGTTTATCTAGCAGTCAGCTCAAGTGACTTCTTGTATTCTAGATGGGTGTTTTCCAAACTGTGGAGCCATGAAATTGATTTAGAGAGTCATGACCCAGTATTACAAGAAAACCAAATAGAAACTGTTAGAATGCATCCCATGTAGTAAAGGCAAGTATTGTTTGACTGAACTTTGGCTTCATCTGTATGTATGTGTGTGTGGTATCTGTATAGAGTTGCAGTGTAAAATCTATACCTTACTCCAGGCCACAGTCCAAAAGATTCTGAAAGCCTTTGTTCTTTTGGTTTTCTTGTTAGAGAAAGGGTCTTGCTCCAGGCTGGGGCAAGGGTCGTCCAGGCAGGAGTGCAGTGGTTCAATCACAGATCACTGCATCCTCGACCTTCTGGGCTCAAGTGATCCCCCCACCTCAGCCCTCATGGGTAGCTGGGACTAAAGGCATGTGCAACCATGTCGTGCTAATTTTCACAAAAAAATTTGTAGACATGGGGTCTTACTATGTTGCCCCAGCTGGTCTTAAACTCCTGGCCTCAAGCACTCCTCGCAGCTGGGCCTCCCAAAGCACTAGGATGATAGGCATGAGCCACCTGCTGGGCTGAAAGCCTTTGTTCTGTAATGAGCAGCAA